GAGGAGGGTTGGGACCTCAGACAGGTACAATGCCATAGACTCCACCCTCCCAACCAGCCATTCCCTTCTGGGGAACCACTGTTGCCAATCTCAGGAGAGGGGTGGAAATCACTTAGAATTACAACTGGTCTCCAGGAGAGAGGGGGGAGGAGATGCAAAGCTGACACCAGAGGGGCAGATAATGGCAGGGTGATGCTTGGCTGGGAAGGAGACAGGGTTGCCAACTCCAGGTTGGGAAATTCATGGAGATTTGAGGGGTGGAGCCTGGAGAGGGTGAGGTTTGAGGAGAGGTGGAACCACAGACAGGTACAATGCCATAGACTCCACCCCCCAAAATCAGCCATTTCCTCCTGGGTAACAATTGTTGCCAATCTCCAGTTGAGGGCTGGAGATCACTCAAAATTACAACTGTTCTTAAGGTAGCAGAGATCAGTTCCTCTGGGGAAAATGCTGGACTCTGTGTCATTATACCCTGCTGAGGTCGCCACAGCACATTGATGCTGAGTGCCCAAGACCTTGGAACTCTCCCAGAGTCTCTTTCTAGAGCTTGTTGTATTTATTTCCACAACAGGCCTTATTCCTAATAATACAATAAGAAAAATAGAACAGTATTTTTATTGTGATAGTCAACATGAACTTGTTATGGTGGACATGAATGTTTTGTCATCTGTACATTGTTATTTAAGCGCACGAGTATGACTCATGTTGCATTTCTTAAGCCTACAGTCTGATTTCACAAACCAACTGGAGTTTGTTTGGGTGAGAATGAGTCTGATTTATTCACAGGTTTAAATGTTCCTTTCCTCTCCCCCTTGTGTACAGAGCTGAGACTGAAGACTTCCTGCTTTTAAAAGTCTTCAATATAATCACAGTTATTTGCAACATCCAGATTCAGTTGGAACTTGTTTTTTTGTCCATAAAATGGAACTTGTTTTTTGTCCATAAAGCAGATTCAGATCATGATTAAGCTGTGCAGGGAGGGAGCATATGAGACTGCTAATGAAGCATGCTCTCCTTCCTCATGAACAAACTCCATCTGAATACATTCTCATTGGATAACAGAGGTCTCCTTTTGGAACAGATCTGTAAGTCCTACTTCCTACACATGGTACCCAAGCTTAGACTAACGGGATTTACACGAGCCAAGATAAATAGCCTGGGAAGCTAGGAAAAAGCTGGCTCAAGAGAATAAGTACTGGGGAATATGGTCATGCAGAATCAGTAGTAGATGGGGAGATATATATATATCTGGTAGAGATATGTATATATCTGGTATCCAAAAGCATAGAAATTGAAATACAGCGGCAGACCCAATGAGTTCTCAGTAGGTGATATATCTAGTTCAAGCAACTGAAAGAGTAAGGGTCTCTTTCCCAGAGCAATCAGCAAAGTATTCCAATCTGAATTTCCATGTGAAGAAGAGTTGGTTTTATACCTTGCTCTCCACTACCTGAAGGAGTCTCAAAGCGATTTACCATTTCCTTCCCTTCCTCTCCCCACAGCAGACACCCTGTGAGGTAGGTGGGGCTGAGAGAGCTCTGAGGGAACTGTGACTGACCCAAGGTCACCTAGCTAGCTTTATGTGGATGAGTGGGGAATCAAACCCAGTTCTTCACATTAGAGTCCACTGTTCTTTACCGCTACAAAAAACTGGCTCTTTTCGCATAGTGAAGTAAATGATATTCACTAACTTTAGATGGAAATTGGACTGGAGTCTGGAAATTGTGCAGAAATCTACCCCAAAATTTCAAGGCATCCTGTATCAGCTGCCCCTAGTTGACAAGATTTTCCCTTCCTGTCCACAGGTCCTATATGAAGTCTGCCATTCTCCTGGTTTCTTCTGCACCCCTGCTAGTGTGTCCTCTGTCCTACTTTCTTTCAGAAATCTTTGCTTTAATCACAGCTTACCTACCATGTTCATCTCTAGTCTGTTATTTGGACCCATTTTTCCCCCCTTGGGTGCAAAGAATATTCCTGCAGATAAATCTGCTTATCCCATGATATATGAACAAATTAAGAAGGGTTTTTTTAATTACATGTTAAATTCTAGTAAATATAATGTTATCCTACCATTTTGATAGAACATCTAAGCAAGGAAGGGACAAGGATCCAATTGCCTGGGAACCAGGAAATTGCTTTGGAGCCTTTTTAATCAAAGGGACTAAAAGTGTAATTGCTGTGATGATGTCACACTAGATGAGGGCTGTAGAAATGTGGTTGAGGTTTTCATATTTCAGTACTGAGCTCACTGAGTACATACGATACTAACCATCATATGCGTTTCCCCTAAACAATCAAATGGTCTCGTATATAACATTTACTTATCTTTCCAGAATTCTCAAAAACCTATGTGTAGTATTGGTCCTGTGTTGCCTAAATTAAAATTTATATGCATAATACGTATACTGTAACATTTTGAAAAGTGATCCATGCGTAACAGAAGTGTTTTACGAAAGAATTACATCTGCTTTTCCAATGGAGTAGGATATTGAACATTTGGTTTGTACCACTTTACCAACTGAGTGTCCATATCTTTCCTTTTAAATCACTTTTGTGACTATCTTATGATGTTTTATAGTTCATACAATGACATGTACTTCTTAAACAAATGTCTGACCTATGTATATATCATGTTTTTGTTGTTGACATGTTTCCATCACACAAAAATTAAATGAACTGGAGCCAGCGGTTTTCAGCCTTGGCCTCTGCTTCGTGTTTTGCCACTGAAAGCATATTTGGACTACACTGTAATGTGTCATCTTCTACGTGCCCTTGAATTTCAGCCATTTTACAGACTGTAATTTGTTGCTGTTGTCAGCAGGATTCTCTTGTTTATGTTAGTTCATCCATCTTGAAAATATGAAAGGAAACAGGGAGCAGAAGCTGTGCCAGTCTTTCTTTGGGTAGGAGACACGTGAAAAGTATCAACATCTTCCACTGAAACATTTGTTCTGTCCTGAAAGACAGTTTTGTGAAGGGACCCTTAGACTTGTCCCAAACTTTCACTGAAGCAATCCAATCCAAATCAACATGGAAAACCAAATTTAGCCTTTATAATAATGCTTATATCTGTTCTGTTTAGTAACCTGGGGCTTAATCCAACCTCTGCCATGGGCACCAGAGCGATGTACCTTCCCAGGGCTCAATGAACCCTTTCCCCAGCCAACCTTCAGATGGAAACAAGTAATGCAGAGCACAGGCTGCTGCGCACCACATAACAGAAGTCCTGCTATTTTTTTTTTCCTCCCCAGGGCCCTGCACAAACACTATCAATGCTGAAACATCTTAGACACATTGGTTTATGATTTTCGCACTGTTTGCCTCCAAGACCACCCAAAATAAAATGAACTTTTAAGGGGGGGGGGACTGAGAAGGAGAGTGAGAAGTTGAAGTCTTGGTAGCATTCCATATGCCCTTGCCTCATTCCGACGTGGGAGTTTAGGGGACGGTCTCGCAATGGTTCTCCTCCTTTCTCCATGGTCGGAGACAGAGGGTGGCGCTTGGTGAGAGGGTCTCCTCGCAATACCCACTCGAATGTGGAGTGCCACAAGGGGCAATCCTCTTGCCAGTGTTATTTAACATTTACATACACCCCTTCGCCCAGTTAGCCAGGAGTTATGGGCTGGGTTGCCATCAATATGCAGATGACACCCAGCTCTATCTGTTAATGGATGGCCTTCCATCCTCTGCCCCTGACATTCTGGCTGAGGCTCTGGCGGCTGTGGCTGGATGGGTGCGGCAGAGCCGGTTGAAGCTTAATCAGTCGAAGACGGAGGTCCTGTACCTGGGTCGGGGGGGAGTGGATGTGGATAGACTCCCCACACTGGAAGGGACGCCTTTGGTGCCGACCCAGAAAGTGAGAAGCCTGGGAGTAACACTGGATGCCTCTCTCTCTATGGAGGCTCAGGTTACTGCAGTTGCCAGATCTGCATTCTTCCATCTTAGGCAGATAAGGCTGCTGAGACCATATCTCTCCTCCCAGGACTTAGCTACAGTGATCCACACAATGGTCACTTCCAGGTTGGTCACTTCCAGGCTTGATTACTGCAACTCGCTCTATGTAGGCTTGCCCTTGAGGCTGACCTGGAGACTGCAGCCGGTGCAAAATGCAGCGGCGTGCCTGCTGACATCGACGCCTATGCGAGCTCATGTCCAGTAGCTGCTCGGCCAACTGCATTGGTTGCCAGTTGACTTCCGGATTCACTTCAAGGTGCTGGTAATCACCTTTAAAGCCTTATACGGCCTGGAACCCACGTATCTGAGGGACCGCCTCTTCCCAGAAACACCCCAAAGAGCGCTACACCCTATGGATCAACATCTCCTGGTTGTCCCCAGCCCAAAGGACGTCCATCTTGCCTCAACCAGGGCCAGGGCCTTGTCTGTCCTGGCCCCTGCCTAGTGGAACATGCTCCCAGTCGAGATTAGGGTCCTGTGGGATCTTGTTCAATTCCACAGGGCCCGTAAGACGGAGCTGTTCTGCAGGCCTTTGGTTGAGGAAGCGGACATCTCTATATGGCCTCCCTGAGGTGGTTGTCACCCATCCACTTAACCCAAATAATCTCAGGGAACCCCCACAGCCAGCTGATTTATTAGAAGTGTGACTGTGTTTTAATGTTTATTAATTTTAAATGGTTTAAGTTGTTTAATTTTAATTGTATTTATTGTATGTTTTATGATATTACCCGCTCTGAGCCCGATTGCGGGATGGGCGGGCTATAAATGCAAATAATAAATAAATAAATAATAAATAAAAATTCCATTCTTTGAGTGATCATTGCTGGAAGTGTGAATCCAAGGACCTTATCAAAGGTGTTACCTCTACAATTGATTCCTTTTGTTCATGTGTTTCTAAACGAGTCATTTGAAAATAGTGGTAGGCTCTGGTGACTCACATGGGTACAAATTTTATGATCAACCAACTCTTGTATCTAGGATTTTATAGAAAGGCTGTTGTAATTTCCCCTCTCTTTTCTCCTCCCCCCCCCTTGCATATTCCAAAGTCCTACTTGGCAAGTACAAGACAAAATGGATGCTAACAATGTGGCTTATACAACTGAAAAGCTAAGCTTTCACACCGATTATCCTGTTCTACAACATCCACCTGGGGTAAGAAAAAACAGAGGGCAAAAGGGAGGTGAAAAGGGCTGCACAGAGGGAGGGCCGCTGTTGCTATAATAATCTGAAATAAGGAAACACGTAGCGTACATACCTCAGTGAGACATGGACATGAATGGAAACCGTCCATGATCCATCTTGTCTCACTTCTGAAGCATTAACGTGCTGTATCATTATTGATTTAAGTTTCAGCCTTTCCTGCCTAGTAAGCTCAGACTGAATTCATTTGCTGAAAGGAACTCTTGGCTGCTTCTACTGTGCTGCAACTTCAAGCCTCAAAGACCAATAGAGGCTAAAGTTTCCCCCCACCCACCCACATGTCTTCCTCCAGTTTTGCCTCCCAATTGTTACCTCAGTCTTTAGTGTTCAGCTTCAGTTAGCTTACTTTCATTGACCCATACACAGGAACTGCCAAACTGCCGGTGGATTCATATTAAAAAATGTCAAGATAACAGCTCGGTATTATTAGTGTACTGAGGTCACCTCACCCTGAATCTTCATGTGATCTCTTTCAGCTGCCTCAGCTGGAGTAGAAACAAGACTGCACAATGAAGATTGTAGAGATTTGGAGAACTGTCCTGCTAGAAAAGAAATGGAAATCTTGAGAGTGGAGTTTCTTACATAGTTACCCACAACTATTTTTTATTTATTTGATTTCTGCCCCGCCCTCCCTGCCGAAGCAGGCTCATGGCGGCTACATCACCAATAGCACACAACCTAAGGGCTTTATCTCATGACTTGTCATGCAGTTAAATAGTGCAAGCACATATTTCTCACCATACAAGAACTCGTGGGCACTCAATGAAATTGCTGAGCGGTCGGGTTAGAATGGATAAAAGGAAGTACTTCTTCACCCAAAGAGTGATTAACACATGGAATTCACTGCCACAGGAGGTGGTGGCGGCTACAAGCCTGGACGGCTTCAAGAGGGAATTGGTTAAACATATTGAGCAGAGGTCCATCAGTGGCTATTAGCCACAAGGTATAGATAGGGGCTCTGGGGCAAGTGATGCTCTGTCTTCTTGGTGCTTGGGGGGGTCAACAGTGGGAGGGCTTCTAATGTCCTGGCCCCACTGGTGGACCTCCTGATGGCACTGGTATTTCTGGCCACTGTGAGACACAGAGTGTTGGACTGGATGGGCCTTTGGCCTGTTCCAACATTGGCGTCTCTTATGTTCTTATGTTCTTATCTTCTGGTGGTGTCTAGACAGATTCTAAGTTATGCTCGATGTAGACATTCTGAATCAGCCAAACGCTAAATCAAATTCAACTTAGCCATGGTTAATGTACAATAAGTGTAAGAAAGCCCATACCCACATTGCAGAGCATCAGTTCACTGTGACACTGAATGTTGCAGTGGAAACCATGATTCACTTCAGTACAGTGCTTTAATAACCTACTGAACTTATAACATTCTGACACCATGACAAAATTCCTGCCATCCAGTCTGCCTTTGCGAAGACAGCAGATTAATGTTGAAGTCCACATGCTGTAGGAAACATTTGCGCAAGGCCCTCAGACAATTATTAATGAATTGAGCAGGCTAGCATCATGTGCCTCTGAACAGGTGCCAGGTCGTTCACACTAATGTGTTGTTTTGAAAATTCATTTACAAGCTGTAGAAATGAATATGGCATAGAAATGGGAGTATATTCCTCAGATGGAAAACAAATGCAAGTTAGCTCACTTTCTCATTTGTGCCAGGAATCACACAGCCCCATATGATGTTACTCACAGTCTTTTCAATTTGGAAATGCTTGTATGAAATAAAAATTGTTTTAAAACATTTTGGAAACCATCTACCATCTACATGTTCTCACTACACACTTTTGTATATCTGCCCTGGTTACATGATATTTTGAAACGGAGACGTTTTATAAAGAGTAGCAAAAAAAAAAAAACCCACTCCAATAAACGAGTTTCACATTCTCCACCTCCCAAAACTACAGGAAGTAACAGGGCAGTCTTGTACAGTTAGTTGCCTTTTGAGGATACTTACCCAAATTTTATAAGAACATAAGAGACGCCAATGTTGGATCAGGCCAAAGGCCCATCCAGTCCAACACTCTGTGTCACACAGTGGCCAGAAATACCAGGTGCCATCAGGAGGTCCACCAGTGGGGCCAGGACATTAGAAGCCCTCCCACTGTTGACCCCCCCCCAAGCATCTGTTTGCTAACTTAATAAATGTGAGCATGAGAGAAGCAGGTAAACACCAAGAGAGTATCCTCCAAGTCCCCCCAACAGCATTCTTTCCATAAAAGCAAGAGGCATCTTTTTAGAGTATAGCCCCCCTCCAAGTGCTGAGGAATGTACTGTAGAGATACAGCAAAAACAAACTAAGCCCTTCATTCTGCCCCCATTCCATGAAGACCTGTATATAGTGGCAGCAAGGAAAACTCATGGCAGCTGCTGGGACAGGTGAGGGCCCAGTATTCTGCCATGAGAATATGCAGCAGTGTCTAGGGCCATCGGGAGCCATGGGAAATGTAGTTCCCATGACTTTCAGCATCTTTAGATGCTGTTTTGGCATGCACTGTATTTACCCCAAAAGAAAGACAACCATAATGTAAGAAGACCTCTCCCACCTCACCCCCAAACCTGTTATAATATGTTTATGCAAATGTAGGATAGCCTTCTTTTTTGACGATACTCCTGGAAACAGAGCTCTAGTCTTCTTTTTGAATAAATGCAGTAGAATGTCCCGAAAATACAGTAGAATGTCCACACCTCTGCTGGTGTGCCCACTTGCAGTGGTTTATAAGGGTGCTGGGAACCATGGGGACTACATTTCTCATTATTCCCAGGAGCATCTGTGGCCTAAAAGAAGCACTTAGGCCTCTGAAGGCAGGTCTATTGTGCCCACTCATCTTTAGTACCTTAGGGAAGCTGAAGGGACAACAGAGGCCTGTGATGACAAATTAGTTTTGATTGATATACACCAGTGACACCCAGTGGCTTAGGAGCCACATGTGGCTCTTCAGCATGCCTCCTGTGGCTCTTCTGAGCACTATTCCCTCATGGGGGATCTGTTCCATTTTTGAAAAAAGTGGATAAGGCCAGTTCCTGGTTGGGGCTTGTGGTTGGCAGGTTGCTCCTTGAAACACCTGCCACTAAAGGGTCTAGAGGACAGGGAAGCTCCAAGCCTCCCTGAGCTGCAGGCCTTGTGCCAGGGAGGAAAGTAAAGGCCCTCCTTCTCCAGCAATCCCCAACCCTTCTTCACAGTCTCCATGCCCTCATCCCAGCCCCCAGGTGGCAGCTGAGAAGACAGAAAGCTGACTGGGGAAAAGGAGGAAGTAAAACCACCACCATGGAAAGTGGTTTACTCCCTGTCCAACCCGCTCTTCTCTGGGAGCCCTGGCAATCTCTCTGTTTCTCTTGCCTGAGCTGCTTTGCCTCAGGCTGAGGAGAGAGCAAGAAGAAAGGGACGCCTTTCTCCTTACGCCAGGCACATGGGCTGCCTACGAATCACCAGTGGTGGGGAGAGACAACCCTGCAGTCTGAGAACTGAAAAGGTTATAGTCACAGTGATACGATATTATTAATTATATCTTATATTATTGTGTGTGTGTGTGTGTGTGTTTGGTGGGTGGACGCAGTTATCATGTGGCTCTTTTGGTGAATGGCAAATTGTGAATGCAACTCTCCTAGGGTTGCCAAATCCGTCTTCGCCGGGAGCAGGGGGCTCTCGGCCAGCGTCGGGGTTGTGCGCGCAATAGAGTTTTCCCTTGTATGGCCGTGGCCCCACCCCCAGCATGCCCGGCGTGCCTACGTCACTTGCTAGTGACGCGCATGCCGGGGGCGGGGTTCCCCCGGGCCCGATTTCGCCATGTCGGAAATCGGGGCTTCAAACCGGGGGATTCCCCGCCCCCCGCCCACATTTGGCAGCCCTAAACTCTCCGTAAGCCACGGAGTGAGTGCCACATGTGCAGTTTGGAGGAGCCAGACTGATTGTAACTGCATCTTGGGGGAAGACCTGTAAAATCTGGTGTCTGAACCCATTGTCAGGTCCTGCCCCCATTGCTGTTTGTCTCTCCCCCACATACATAGTCCGCAGGCAGACAGGACACTGATTTCAGCTGCCAGCCACCTTTCAAGATACTGGACTGTTGCCTGATCACCAATGCCCAGTAACTATTGCAATATCTTTCCCATAGCATAACAATTGGTTAAAAAAAGTCATAGAATGCCTGATTTCTCATTTTAGTTAGCTTACTTGCAGCCAGGCCTGGTGCTATGGTGGGACCTCCTGAGGCCCAGCCCCCCAACTTCCTCCCATGGCCTCATGACTCCCTATCTACCCCAGGCCCCCTGACTCACTGGAGTTGGTGGTGGTGGTGGTGGTGGTGCGGGGCTCCCAAGTGGAAGACAGAGGCAGGACTCTCCGTCCTAGGGGAGAAGCCAGCGAGCAGTTCCCTTCATGGGGGGGGGGGAAAGGGCAATATCCTTTGCAGGTGCGTGCTCTTTCCTTTCCCCCTTCCACACCCCACACATGCTGAGGTGAGATGCTTGGCGGGCTGACAGTGCCTGCCTGCAGCGGCATTGGGGGATTTTCTGGAGGCACTCGCCACCCTCCTTCTGTAGCTCCTTGCAGCCCAAAATGAGGACAGCTCCTCACTCACTCTCTGTCAGCTCTATCAGCTCTCCCCAGATGGACAGAGAGACAGGAATCGCCCACCAGCCAGCCTTCTCTGGGCTCTGCCCTGAGCATTGGCTGGGACTCCTCCAGGCCCAGAGGGGTGGGCTCCCGCCCCCTCAGCAGCCCTGGGCCCTCTGGCTGATGCCCCTCTCTGTCCCCAGATAGGGATGGGCAAGAGCAGGATGGAGAAGGCGCCCAAGAGAGCGAGTGAGGATCCATCGTCTCAGGCCGCAAGGAGCCACGGAAGGAGGGCGGCAAGTGCCTCCAGAAAGTCCCTCAATGCCACTGTGGGCAGGCAGTGTCAGCTCGCCCAGTGCCTCACCTCAGAGTGCACCTACAAAGGATATTGCCCTCCCCCCATGAAGGGAACCTCTCATTGGCTTCTCCCCTAGGAAGGAGAGTCCTGCCTTCCACTCAGGAGCCCGCACCACCACCAGTAAGTCGGGGGGGGCTGGGGCGGATAGGGAGTTCGGGGGCCTTGGCAGGATGGAGAAGGTGCCCAAGCCTGCCACACGCACACACGCCTCTCCTCTCATCCAGCCGGGCCGGCTGGCTGAAGGGCAAAGAGCCTTTCCTTCAGGGCAGCCTTCCCGATCCCACCCAACTTGAAGCAGTGGACCCTGCAGCGCGGGCAGCCCAGCCAGCCCTCTGACTCCCTGGCAACACTGTTGGGTGGCGTCCAGGCCTTGCCCTTCCCTCCAGCCATCCCATGGGAAGACCAGCGGGGGCAGGGGCCAGCCAGTCTACATGAGTTTATTTTATTTTATTTTTATTTCAGTGCTCCCCAACTTTTTAGAAGGCCCTCCAAATTAAGAAAAATCCTAACTACAGGCCTACTTGCAGCTACTGCCTCTTGATAGCTATCCTTTTCCCCTGGAACGACTGCTAAAGCCAGGTCAAGCACTAGGGTTGCCAACCTTGGGCTAGGGAACTCCTGGAGATTTGGGGGCGGAGCCTGGGAAGGTTGCTCAGCAGGGATTTGATGCCATAGAGAGTCCACCCTCTGAAGCAGCTATTTTCTCCAGGGCAACTGATCTCTGTAGTCTGGAGATCCATCGTATTACCAGGAGATCCTCCAGGCAACTCTTATCAAGCACTCCTATCGTGGTTATCAACTGTTTCCTGCACTTACTGTTGATTCTCTTCTGCCTGAAAGTACTTAAGGGGGAGAGAGGAAAACAGTGCATTCGCATGCATGTACAATAGGGATGACTCGGGCCTGGCTCACAGCATTTTCATTCAAGTGTCCTGTTTGTTGGGTACTGGAACAATACTGGTGCAACAGAGGAATAAAGCATTGCTAAAGGCTGCGGTCACACGGAGCATTAGCCACGCTTCAGAGACGGAAGATAGGCGGATTTTCCGGGCGCGATCACACCGCAACATCTGGGAAGCGTAGAGCTCCCGTGGCTAACCCGAGGCTTCCCGCCGAAGATGCGGAAACCGCAGGGCAAGGGCGGGCGTCTGATCGCGTTTCCGGTGGTAGTTCGTGGCATCTGGCGCCCGCCCATGTCCCGTCGCAAAAAGGGTTTTTTTCCCCCAATTCTCCACGGGATGCGTACATGCACCCAACGGCGCATGCGCACACTTCGGTTTAAAAAAAACAGAACCCCGTTTGCCACGGCAGCGGCGCCTAGCCATTGCAGCTGTGGTCGCACCGCGCCGCTTCTTTGCCACGCCACAGGATTGTCGTGTGATCGGCACCTCCCCCCGAACCACGGGATGTCGGCGGGATGTGTGATCTGACAGCCGCGCGTTAGTTTGCTCCGGGGCAAACAGCCACGCTTCCCCCCCGCATTTTCCGGCCCATGTGACCGGGACCGTAATGTCTTTTCATAGCAGTTTGTGGTTCATGCCGTCCCAATGGCAACTTACGAAAGATAAAAATAGTAATAAATCAGAGTCTGAATGAAATAGAATGATTATGAATGATGATGCGTCTAGGCCACTGCTTACTGTAAATTTATCATTGATTTGTTACAGATTCAGTTCCTGCACTGTATAAAACAAACACCAACTGGAGGGGAGAGTGAAGTTGTAGATGGCTTTCATGTAGCAAACAAGCTTAAGGAGCAGAATCCTCAGGCGTTCCAGATCCTGACCTCCACCCTTGTTGATTTCACAGACACTGGGGCAGATTACTGTGATTTCTCCGTGCAGGCCAAGCAAAGAATTCTAGAGTAAGTAATGGCAAGAGTTGATTATCCCCTACTACCTGTAGTAGCATGTCCCTCGGAGCTGTTTTACTCTGAGCTACAGGGCAGCACAGCAAGAATCTTGTTTAAATAGCAAAAATCCATAGGTCAATCACTGCCACCTTGTGGAATTAAAAATCGGTTTTGAAAGACAAGTTCAGGTGCTGCTCTGATCTCCTTGGAGGCAGGGTGGCATAAAAATGTAATGGATAGATATATAGAGATAGTTTTTAAAAATTCTTATGGCATTTCATTTACTATTTTGTAATCTACTATGGGGCACATGAGAGCTCTTTTGTGTCAAATTATGTCTACTTTATAACAGCATAACCCTTTGCACTATACTCCATTATAATGAAGAAATGGTTTTTCTTTTCTTCTTCTTTTTTTTGAAAATTATGTTTTTTTACACCCAAACTGCTCAGGATTTAATTTCAAGATAACATGTTTTGTTCTCTATTTCTCAACAGCATAGATGGCAAGGGCCAGGTGGTCCGTATCAACTTTAATAATGCAACCAGAGACACAATATTGGACATTCCTGCTGAAAAAGTGAAGCCATTTTATGCTGCTCTCAAGGATTTTGTTAATTTGCTAAATTGTTTGGAGAATAAGTATACCTACAAGATGAAACCGGGTAAGCAAAATAACTTTAAGACTTGCACCCATACAGATGCATCTGAAATATCTCAGTTGATTCATTAAAAGATTTTACCCAGAGGTATGCTTTTAAAGAAATCCAAAACAGATGCCAAAAAACCTCCAGTTCTGCTGAAGAAGAGTTTTGCAGGATGCGTGCATCACAGAAAGGAAGCATATTTGTGCAGTACAGCTTCTTTGGTACATAGTATGCCTCTGCTCATCTTGATCGGAGCCAAAGATGCTCAATGTACTCAGCATTGAAGCTCTGGCCCCTCCTACTGGGATGGGAAGTTTACTGAGCCTGTCCAGCTTTGGAGGTTTCACTTGATATTATCCACATCTCTTTAGCTTATTTTTGCATCCCTAAGGAGTGGAAACTTTCCAGGGCAGGGGGATTGTTTGTTTAAAATGAAAGCTAACATTCTCAGGATTCCACGTTCTCACTACTAAATCCCATGCTTCTCTGCCCCTTCTACAGGATCACAAGATAGATGCAACTTTGAAAGACAGAAATATTGTGTTTTTTCCAGGCTTTCCCCCCCCCATGTGTTGTTTATAATGATGATAGATTAAGGATGTATTTAGGATGCAGCCCCTCCACCCTCCCAGTGACTCAATAGACCTTCTGCCTGCCTGGGATTGCAAAACCAGGCATTGCCAAGCCCTTGACAGGCCACAGTGTGTGGCTAGTGGGCTGCATTTGGCTGCACAGGTAGTGCAGGTTCCCAAATATTGGGCTGAAATCCACTTTTGCATCACAGAGGGCTTTTTGTCCCATTGATCTGGGCTGGAATGTAAAACACTTGCCAGAGACTACAGTGCCTCTGGTATCCCTCCTGGCATGACCGAGAGCAGGGCTATTTTTGGGCAGGAACGCACAGGAATGGAGTTCCGGCTGGCTTCCAAGTTGGCCACGCCCAGCAGGAACTCATTAACATAACAGGCCACACCCAACAGCAGAAACTCATTAGGATTGGCTACAATTAGGGGGTGTGGCCTAACATACAAAGGAGTTCCTGCTCCAAACAAAAAGCTCTGGGTTTTGACAACAAACAAGGTAAAGAGAATAAGAAGCAAAAGGTGGGTGTGGTTGGATGACCACACTTCTGGTAACATGGGGTTGGGCCTAATATGCAAATGAGCTGTGCTGTCAGTGGTGTGGCCTAATATGCTAATAAGTTCCTGCTGTTTTGTGTCGCCTATTATGCTAATGAGTTCCTGCTGGGCTTTTTCTACAAAGAAAGCCCTGACCGAGAGTATCCTTGCCCTCTCTTCCTCTTGTTCTTCTTCGCACAAATCGGTGTCAGCCACAGAAAGGCATCAGACACATCTGAACATACATGGCATAGCCAAGGCAGGGATGCCAGGATACTTCGGATGAGAAACAAGACACGTGAGAGTGTCTCTAAGGCCTTTGTGTATGCTGTGCCCATCTCAGTATGGATGATCCCTGACTGCTATGACCACCCATGTCTAGTAAGCAGTGCAAAACGAAGTCAGATGGCAGGGAAATTCTTGTTTATATCGGGAGGGGTAGAGGGTACATCAAGATGTCTCCAGCTGTCATTGTCTTCTGTCAGTGAGTGAAGGCTTTCTTGTTTCAGTTGACATTTCCCTATAAACTCATATTGACCCTCCTCCCTGATTGTGCTGGTTGTCTGGATGTCTATACGTTCTTATTGTATACTTAAATATTTTACATGCATTTTAAATGCTTTTTTATTATTTTAATGCCTTGATGTTCTCTGCCTTGGGAACCCTATTTGGTATTAATAAGTAAAATTTCCCTACTAATAAAGAGAAATAGTACAAAAAAACATCACCAAGAATGCTATATACTCATTAAAGTTTTGTTCTAAGTTTTGCTATTTACAAGATTTGATGTCAAGTCGAGGGCTTGCTAGCATTTGTTGCCTCACAAAGACACGGCGACATCCTGATTTAACTTGGATTTCATAATTTGATCAGGTCGGGATTAATCTTCATCTCACCACACATGATGCCATACCCAGTGTCTCACAGAGAAATTAACCTTCAACTAACTGAGAATATGTCTGAGCTCACCCAGTCTTATCGTACTCATCACTAGTTGCATTCTCTTCATGCTTTTTGTAGGTGAAATAGTGGTATTTGACAACTGGCGTTTACTGCATGGACGACAGAGTTACCAGGCAGGAACAGAAATATCCCGTCACCTTGAAGGAGCCTATGCAGACTGGGATGTGGTACTGTCAAGACTACGAATCCTACAGAAGAACGTCCTGAAGAGGATGTAAACTTTGAAGGCTGGGCTAATAGGGAATCGTGCCTCTGCACAAGTGACAGAGTAGTCCAGATAGCCTGTTCCCAGAGGATAATGATCTCGTGCGCTTCCAGACTGCCTGCAGTAAGGTCCCAGTTGACAACGCTCTAGGTAGTCTATTAGAACCCTGGCTGATCTCTGGTACGGGATTAACTGGGCCTCTGCGGTTGACATGAATGTTGATACCAGTGTTCATCATTATGTGATTTGGAAAATGAATTTGGCCAGCTTGTATGGTTCAGATACGTTACAAGTCAGCTTGGAATACAGAATGAGATTCTGCACATTTATGTTCAGTGTTCAGCAAACCACACCCCCAAAAGCCAGTTTCTTTTCAACTTCATGCATAAAAGTTATTGAATATCAAGCCATTATTCTCAAAAAAACTTTTGTCAATCACTATGAAACTATGTGAGCCACATACCTAGCTGATTTGTAGGTGCATGCTTAGAAGTCTTTTTTAAATGGCAGCACTTTACCTATAATGAAACTATCATGGATTCCTGTAAAACTACATATCCAGCTGCTTTGCAATTACATGCACTGAAATTCTATTTAGTTAACCCCTTACTTTCACTGAAGCGCTCATCGATCGCTGTGAACTGCATGATCGTGGTTGCCTGTGTGGTGAGTAGCTTCTCAGAGTCACTCCTCTCAGACATCTCTTGCAAAAATTCTGGGACTACTGTTCCCCACCCAGATCTATAATTCTTTTGTTCCTAGGAGTGTTGGGGGTAGCGGTTGAGTTTCCAAGTGGCTCTCTGCCATGTCTGGTGCTGGGAAATATAATTGATTTGGGGCAGTGTGTTAGCATGCATGCACCAACCTTATGAGCTGGGGAAGGATTCTTGGAAAGCAGGCAAACATTCTCTGAAAACATTCTCCTCATTAGTTAACACAGTTAGCAACTAGACACTTTCTTCATTGATTAAAGCTCAGGCAGCTCTCAGGTTTTCTGGAGCATTGAGGGCAATGAAACAGCAGGAGGAAACAGCTAGAGAATAGATGTGTTGGATGATTTGCAACAATTTAGAACATTCACCGCTTAGTGCCTTCTCAAAGTCATGTGATATGGAGGTGATGGTAGCAAAGCAACAGCATGAGTTTATGGGTTTCCTTGGTAGGAGTACCTCAGTGGAATCGTGATATCTGCTGGGTCAGATTGCTGCTGAACCTGTAGAAGTAGACCAAAGCCATTTGGTTTCACTGGGCCTTTGAAGGATAACAATCTTTCTGGTATTCTGACTCTGCTGACAGTTTTTATTCTTCTGTAATGCTTTTTGATTTGATTGTGTCCTTAGAATGATTAAGATTTTTAACCTGAATTATTTTGCATATTGGGATTTGACGTTTGTGGGCATGTTGTGGAAGGAATGGCAGGCTGAAGATGATTATGTTGAAAACAGCAACACTATTACAACCTCTGCTCAGGTTTTAAAGTAGTCATCATTGGGTCTTTGCACTGCTATGCTAGATTTCCAGCAACACGTGTTGTCTTCTAACCGAAAGACAAAGAAGTCTGAAGCCCATACAGATATGACGTTTAAAAATTGTTTAGTGTGTAAAAGGTATAGCATGGTACAGCCAGGAATAACCCAGACCACAGTGAACATATCTTACATATTCTTCTGAAATAGGCCTGGAATCTGCCATAAAACAGCAGATTGTAGCGGTAGCACAGAATTGCACTGTAAAGCCAAGTAAAGAATTCTCTATAATAAAGTTGGGATGCATTTGCACATTTATGTGGTGTCTTGGAGATTATGTGATACTTTTGTTATAAATTATATTCCCATTTATTTATGTTTCAGAGTTGTAGTATCACACTCAGCACTTCCTCAAAATACTATGGAATTACAGAGTCTGATTTGTTTCGATCATGTGCCAAATCTTATTTATTTGCTTCTTCATTTATACCCCCTTTTTTCTCCCCAGTGGAGACCCAAAGTGGCTTACACCCTTCTCTCCTCTGTTTTATCCTCATGACATCTCTGACAATATGCAGTTAGCTGAGTATCACCCAGCAAGCGTCAAAGTAGAGTAGGGATTCAAACCTGGGTCTCCCAATTCCTAGACCTACACTCTAACCATGACATCATGCTGGGTTTCAAACCTTGTACAGGGAACACCACTGGCTGCATAGAAATAAAGGCTGGACCTAAATTGAAAATACACCTCCTTTTGAATTATAAACAAATAATTTTAAAGTACGGAGATCAACTCAAAATAGAAATGGTCATTACAGCCAGGGAATTTGCTTTGGAAGCACATTATTTGTGAGTCTCACAGTGACTCTAGCTGTTGTTGTGGCTTTCTTGGAAGTCATAACAAGCAGCTCTGTGCTCTTCAGCTGTACACCTGAATTTCTTCAGGGAATTAGAGGATGGTTCCAAGAGGGATTCCACTGATATGTTTACATTGAGCAATAAGACATTGATTCAAGGACAGTGTTTCCATTTCAGTTGCAGCAATTTTAGAACTTCTAAGCGGTCATCTTTTTTTTTTTACACATTTCCTTCCATTTTTTTTCTGTGTACCATTGTTGTTTTATTACCTGGAGAGAGAGTGTGAATCACTGGAAACAATAAAATTACACTTGTCAAAATTATGAAGAAATGCCCAAATGTATCATACATTTTAACTTGCACCTATAAAGCATGCATAACTTCTCTTCCAAGTTCTTGGGACGTTTCCATTCTGATTGTCAGTCCAAAATCCTTCCATAATCATGTAATAAGAGGAGCGTTGATTAAGATATGGGACAAAATAAAAGATAGGTATTATAAAGACATACCGATGTGGGTATCACTGTTAGAAGTGTTTATAATGCCAAACCTGTTAACAGACAGCAAAAGAGTAACATATGAAACGTTATTAACTAAAGAAAAAAAATTGAAATCCTTCGAGACTTTAAGAGAAATAAATATTAATCTAACCAGTTGGGAACAGATACAGCTGCGGTCAAGATTTGGTAAAGACAAAACAATGAAATTTGCAATCAAAAAATCAGATTTGGACAAAATATGGCTATGATCTTCAGATAAACAGATTCAAAAAATATATAAGTTCTTATTGTGTGATTCTATGAAAGAGATAGTAGTAAAACCCTGTATGACAACCTGGATGCAAAATATAAGACATACTATAAAGATTGAGGATTGGGAGAAAACATGGAAATCGATGAAACTGTTAAGAGCGATGCCATATAAAGAAAATATAATTAAAATGTTCTATAGGTGGCACTGGACGCCGGATAAACTTGCTAAGTGCTATAAAGATAGTTCAGGAACATGTTGGAGATGCAAAAAGAATGTAGGAACATTTTACCACATATGGTGGAGATGTGAAAAAATAAGTAAATTTTGGAAAACTGTTAAAACATTTATAAAAGAGTTAACCGATATAGAATTGCAACTCACTCCAGAAGTTTATCTCCTTAATATGATGCCAGAAGGGATTAAAAGAGACGAGCGAGTGGTTATACTTTATATTCTCACGATAGCTAGAATCCTTGTAGCAAAAAAATGGAAAACGGATTTAATACCTAAAAAAGAAGAGATAATTGAAAAGATTTTTGAATTAGTGGAAATGGATAGATTAAATCTGATGTTAGCAGGGAGAGATGATAATGTATTTATGAAAAGGTGGAATAAAGTAAACAAGTGGATGGGAAAAAATGTATAATATATACTCCAACAAATGTTATGTAAAAAGAGGAACAGTTTTTGTTTGTTCTGTTTTGTTTTGTTTTTTGTAATGGAAAATCCATAAATAAATAATGGGAAAAAACAAAACAAAATCATTTCAGCATATGCAGCCTAGTAATGTCTGGTCCAGATTCATTCAAATAAATGGGATTTTAATTCCACGTGAACCAATTCCAAGCACCTAGATTTGCAACTGCTATGTTCCTAAGAAAGTTTACTTGGAATGAGTTTTGCTTAAATTAGTAGGACCTACTTCTTAGCCTTAGGACTGCACATGAAGTTGCTTTACACCATATCCGTCCATCTAGCTCCTTCTGTGTTGACAGCAGGTGCCCAGGACTGCAGGTCCTTCTCAAAACCTCTTACTTGAGATCTTTTAACTAGAATGCCAGCGATTGAACATGGGACCTTCAGTATGCAAAGCACACAAATGCTCTGCTACTGAGCCACAACCCTGACTTAATATGGTACCATTGGATTGATTCCTACCATTCATCTTAGCTAATGACTGCATGTTCCTCCAATGCAAGAGGCTCTTCTGATGGTGGAAGTGCCTTTTGCATCAGAGGAAGACTGTGCCAGAAGAAGGCACTATGAATGGCAGGACACAACTCATTATGGTTTTTAATTATTAATAATTTTGTATAGAATCTTTAATATAACGAACAAAACGAAACTGATTTCAATCTTCCTTGTACCACCACTAACTTGGAAAATCCAATGTCCTGACTAACATTGTAAAGTTATTTTTACCCCATCAGGACTACAGTCTTATCCTGAAAGAATGCAAAAAAAGATTAAGACAGTTATCTTCAGTTTGGAATCCTAATGTAAATCTTCTTTAAAACAAAGGCTGCAGTCCAACGTGAACAGCCATAATCACTCAAAATGAATGTGGAAATTGGCTGCCACAGTCTACCAAGTGCTGTTATTGTGCATCCTCCATTCACGAAGCCCAACTGGAATGAATGAATGGATTCCTTTGGTGAATCATTTCTCACATTAGTGAAAGCACCTCTGTCTGGTTCAATTGGACCAGTGGAACTGTCTCCTTGGACCAGTGAGACATCTATGATTTTTCTGAACTGTGTTTAGATGTGCATCCTAATCTTTTCCTTCTCAGGTTAGGTAATGCTTGCATATTAAAATGGATTTGGGAATGCAAGGTCATCCCTCTAAAACAGTAAATAGTGCCTTTCCCCCTAGAATTTTGGCATCACTTTGGAGTTTGATATACTACAGAATGAGCTGATATGACACATCACAAACACTGGCTTTTAATTGCTACTTGATCTGTTAATGTTTCCTTTGTTTTCTGTCCAGAAAGTCTAATGTTTATTTTTTGGATTAAAGAAAAAATCCAGTCATATTGCACATTTAACTGCAAGTCAGCTGTTCTATCATGTTTCCTATGTTGCGACAGTCCTTTCCTAGGGCAAATCCTTGGATTTAATTCAGCCATTTCATTTTGGAAAACATTTTTTTGCTTTTCGCTCCACGGCTTTCTTTGTCCATGTGTTCATTCCTTAATAACATGTTGTTTGGAACCAATTAGCCTATTGGATTCTTGCCTAATCACAAAAACCCATTGCTTAGCATAGCGATGTCTTGCACAGATGCCAAAACAAAGATAATGGTGGAGGAAGTTTTTCAGAGGCCATCATCAAAGTGAAACTTATGGATACACTCCACTGTGATAAGATTTGCATTTGTTCTAAATAAAAACCCATTAAGCTACATGAAGGGAAGGTCTAGCTGTACAAAGCTGTACAAAGATTGCTTCTGGCAGCATATTCTTTGTAACAGGAATTCATCCAACAGTGTTCTTTCCAAGTGGGTCTTGGTAATACCAGAGCACCAGGGCTGTTTTTGCAAATGCTACATTACTGTCTGGAACCAATAATAGCAAATTTGCCCTAATGTATTTTTCAGAGGACTTAGTTGGTTACACTACTTGTTCCAGGAGTCCAAGGAAATATCTTAGTTCTGAATTAGATAATCTAGTCCTCTGTCTTGCTTCCTACAGACACTAGTTTAAAATCCTTTATTTATGTATTTATTTATATATACATACACACACACACACATACATACCCTACCTTTTTCTCCAATGGGAACTTGAAACAACTTATCCTCACAACAACCCAGTGAGGTAAGTTAGGTTGAGAGAGTGACTGACCCAAGTTCATCCAATAGGCGTTACAGGCAGCGTTTCTATTCAAACCTGGGTCTCCCAAATGCTAGTCCAAGACTCTAACCACTGCACTACACTGGCTTTCTTTTAAAAAGAGTTTAACAGCAAAAAAAAGCTACTCTAGTTACAGTTAAATGTAATTTAAGCCAGGTGGTTCATTCTAGTTGCGTAAGGTAACGTTGGAGAGCAATCATAAGCAGGTCTACTCAGAATCCTTCTCAGGAATATTCAGTGAGACTTACTCCCAGGAAACTATTCTTTGGATTGAACTGTTGGTCTACTATTTTTAGGACTTTAACTACGTGCACATGCGCACATACTCACACGCATATATAGTCATAGTAATATTCTGTCTTTTAAAAAGTCTATTCAATACATTTCTATACATTTTTACAAATGTCTGCTGTATTTATTTATTTACCAATGTCTGCTCGAGGACCCACAGGGCCAAGGAGTGGTGACCCAGAAGGACCCAAGCTTGGGTTCTTGACAGCAGGTCACACATGTTCACCAACAAGTAAACCTTACGCTGGGTAAGAGGCTGAAGGTGGGACTCGATGTCCTCTTGCATCCTTTGCACCAACATATGCACTGCTGGAAGAAGGTCTGTGTGTCCTGTAGCTGGTTCCAGAAAGGCAGTCAACCACTCATCCAGGCAGAGCACTGGAGATGGTCACAGGACAACTCACCTCCTGCCTGGTGGCTGCAGAGCCAACCTGCCAGCCTCTCCCCCTGCCATGATGGTTCCTAGGGCTGCCAAGTCTTGTTGAATCGCGGCGGGGGGATCGTCATTCTTTACAGGAGCTCTGCCGTGGGGGACGGCAACAAGCGTTGCACCGCCGTCGCCAGGATGTGACGCTACGCGTCGCTCTGGCAATGGGGCTGTTTGGCCAATCTGGTCAATTTCTGGCACTCTTCTCTGTTTTTAGGTCAATTTGCCATGCCAATCATGTTTCTGGTCCAGTCCAAACACCCTCAAGTGGTAGGCACATGCATGTGCGCGCGCGCACACACACAGAGAGGGGGGGCAGAAGAGTGAGGCTGACAAACATCTGAAAAGGAATTGCTTTGAAGAGAGACTGGCTGGATGATTTTTGGATCATCACAACATGGGATGGAATATT